ATAAGTTTCCCGTGCAACTGACGGAGTAAGCTGAATTTGTTGTTGTTCAGAGTTCTGCAGTTCTTCGCTTTATTCCACGATTGTTGTTTCTATGCAAGGAAGACGTACATGATATTATGTTTCATGTGCATAAATTCCATCTTTATTGACTGAACAGTGTTACGAGATCAAGTAGAACCAGATAGTTTTACTGTATTATACTGTAAATCCGCTGTGGTAAAACCCATCAGCTCGTGATTCAGTTCCAACAAGTTTACTCACATCTCCACATCATGGAGCACACGCGCGAGAGACATACCACCTCCCTGAATGAACTCTGTCGCGTTTGCGGGAATAAGAGCGTGACTCAAATACAAAAGCGGCTGAAAAGAAAGGCTCGGACATGTGAGTCGCTGCAGAGTTACATTTTATTGATTTATGATCTCGACATTGGAGAAGACACGGACGACAAACACTCGAAGTTTATTTGCCACAAATGCCACATGAGAATCTACGACACGAAGAAGAACACCACCCAGTCCACACTGAAAAAAGCGCGAGATCTGGTCAGACGCAGCCGTCACATATGGTGTACATTCGACGCTCAAAATACTACGATACAGGATTGCAGCGTTTGTCGTCATCGTGTCCGTTTGTCAGAGGGTTTTCTGAAATCAGCAGCAAAGAAGCCCGCCGCCACAACAACAGTTATTGCTGGTAACTGTCCCAGTGCAAGTCCTTGTCTCGTCACAGCAGTTACTGCAGGTCCCAGTGCAAGTCCTTGTCTCGTCACAGCAGTTACTGCAGGTCCCAGTGCAAGTCCTTGTCTCGTCACAGCAGTTACTGCAGGTCCCAGTGCAAGTCCTTGCCTTGCCACACCAACAGTTACTGCAGGTCCCAGTGCTATCTAGTCCTTGCCTCGTCACAACAGTTACTGCAGGTCCCAGTGCTATCTAGTCCTTGCCTCGTCACAACAGTTATTGCAGATTCCAGTGCTAGTCCTTGCCAAGCAACAACTGTTACTGCTGGTGACTGTCCCAGTGCTAGATTTAGTCCTTACCTTACCGCAAGAACAGTTATTGTAGGTCCCAGTGCTAGTCATTGCCTAGCAACAACAGTTACTGCAGGTCCCAGTGCCAGCCCACCTTGCCTCGTCCGCTCACAACAACACAGCCCTCCTTGTGTCACACCCAGCATTCACACAACCTCCACACCCGACAACCAGACCCGCTAGTTCTAACAAACACACTAGATCTACATGCCTCTGACGGGCCGTTAAAATTTATCACTGGGACAATATAGTATCATCTTGTCTTATCTTGTCTTATCTTGTCTTATCTTATCTTATCATCAGCTTTGAATTACTCAAGCATTTCCCTTCTCAAACACAAAGTTCAAGACAAAATTCAGTCACTCTAAAATGCCACACAAATGCTGCTGGACCAATGAGGTCAGCTGAAGACAGTGAAGACATTCAGTTTGCCTCTGAATCGTAAAAAAGCCAGGAAAAAAAGAGGCAAGCAGTTTGCGGCAAAGCTGGGGCTCAAAGCAGGATTAGATAAACTATTCAACTGACTTTGGATATGAAAGAGAAAACCAGATTTAGCGGTAGGCAGGGAAAGTGTTCTGGGAAAGTTTTTAAGCGAGTAGAGGTACAGTTGGCTGATGAAGATTTCGTGAGGAAATTATCGAGAGAGGTTGTGCCAGACTCTGTACAAGTTGAGAACAGAATGTTCCTTGACGTCCAAGAGAAAGAACAGGGTGTCCCGAACGGCTGCATTAAGAATTTATCCTCATTTGTTGATAGCCTGTCAGACGAGTGTGCAGAGAATGACCTCTTCGTGTGGCCTGAAACGATACCATTATATTTTCCCAGAAGCTTATCGACAAAGAGATCTGTGTGTTGTTATTTGGCCCATGCAACTGTGTATTCTGGATTCTATGCTGTTTTAAGTTCAACAGTTCTCCGTTAATTTCATAGATTGTTGTTTCTTTGAAAGGCAGACATATTTGTGCTTGTAAATGTGTATAAATTTCATCTTTGTTGACTGAGCCGTGTTACAATATTAGGTAGAATCCATTCCACTGCAAAGGGATATTTTAAGATCCAATCATTGTTGACAAAGAGAACACTATAGGTTTGATTTTCGACTCTTTCAACCAAGTATACAGTCAAATTCATAATGACATCTCACACAGTGCACCTATTCTGAAAATATATATTCCAGCGATTCAGACAGCAATAGACACACACATGAAGCTGTACAGAAGACATTTTCCTAAAAAAGAAAATCCCCAAACGGCATATCTTAGAACAATACTGCATTCCATCCATAACACAACACGGCTTTAGCTTGGGCCTGCTGGGAGAACAAGGAACCGAAAGCTGTCACCAGTCTATTTCCAAAATTGAAAAGCGGGCTCAAGGCATCGTACACAATATACGGAAAAACTACGATACGTTATGAACGCACATTTCCTCCAGACAGCACCTTCACACTGCGCACCGAGGCTGCAGGCACCGAGAAAACAACCACAGCGCCATAGATAAGTATAGATCTACTGTACAAAAGGTGTGAAGAGATCTGTGCCTTTTTATTTAATGAAAGATACTGTAAATGTGAATTTCACCACAAGCCCGACGAATTTGGCTGTTGAACGAAAATGCAAAAATGTGGATTACTAATCTTCCAATAATGACGTCCTTTGGTAAGCAGATCTAGATCTAGATACCCACATTATTTGTCTTTATTCAGAGCAAGTTTTAGTGAATTTCATCCTGCACTTTGGTAGTTACATAACTTTTAATTCGGTGTGTATTACCTTAAATTACCACTTATAAGACGACTGTATTTGATCACATGCAGAAAAAGCTATACTAGATATCTTCGTTGCGTTTTCACGAGCTATACATTGCAAGTGGAAACTCAAAGATGGAACACTATGTGTATATTGATAACCCTGCTTTCATTCGTGAGCGTTGAAACAAAACTGTAAAATTGCCTTCGTATGTGACCAACACTGTGCGTGGTGTGAGTGTGAGCGCTGGTTGAGTGACCGGCAGCTGACCCCGGTATCGCTGACCCGCAATAGCCTAATATAGATATAGAGCTTGGGCTTGGAGTCGACTTTTATTATGTGGCATGTTAGTATAAGAACGTAGAGGGTCTGCCGAAACTGAACGACCACGGAAACGGCGATGTGTGTGTGTGTGTGTGTGTGTGTGTGTGTGTGTGTGTGTGTGTGTGTGTGTGTGTGCTGC